CACAGGCCGTGCCGCACTGTTCGAGCAAGTCGTACGCGCCGTCGATACCAGCGTCGAGCAGCCCGCGCACGCTATCCGGCACGCTGACGTGCATCTCGGAGTACCGCAGCTTGTCTGCGAATTTTCCGCCTAGACCCATGGCGCTCTGCCACGTGGGCACCTGCTTACCCGTGCTGCGGATGGTCGCCTTTGCCACATGGGCCGAGGGCACACACATCTCCCACTGTCCATGCAAGAGGTCCACCTGCTCGGCGGTGGGATCGAGCGGCATACGCGCCACGGGCTGGATGAGAAGCTTGCGCAGCGGACTCCCCGCCGGCTCGTCGACGTCCGGCTCGACGAGGATGCGCCAATGCGGCTCTACGGGGTCGAGGAAGAGATCGAGGCGCGCGCCCGGAGCCGAGAACTGCGCCTGCCACACCTTCTGGCGCAGCAGCGACTGGAAGCGGAACTCGGCGGTCTCGAGCACGTCCACCACCCGCTGGCACCAGCGCTTGGCCACCGCGTCGTCCTGGAACTGCAGGCCCTGCATGAGCGACGAGCAGATCTCGCGCGTGAGGCCGCTCGCCTCGAGCCGCATCGGCAGCGCCGCCTTGAGCATGGGCGCAAAGTCGTCGGGCGACGAACGCACCAGCGTGTCCAAGACGAACTTGTGCACGGGGCGGCCCTTGCACGTCTCGCACGCGGTGTGGTCGCAGTCGGTGCATCGGTAGACGGGCACGTCGACGACGCGGCTCCTGCCCTCGCAGTTGCACAGCTGCGAGGTGTTGACTGCGGCGCCGAGCAGCTCGGGCATGGATACGAGGGTGCTGGACGTGAGATCGAGCGGCTGGGGCGTCAAAAGGTCCGTATGGGCGATGGCGGATTCGCGCTCGTCTACCACCTTTTCCACCACCTCGCTGGCGTCCTTGAGCTCGTCCTCGTGCTTCTCCTTGGCCGAGATGTTTGTGAGTGCGGCCTTGCGCTTCTCGCCGTCCTCCTTGAGATCCTTCATGCCGACGAGGAGCGCAGCGAGCACGCAGGCGCCGACTACGGTGGAGCTCATAGCGTTGCCGGCCAAATCCTGGAGCTGATCATCCGTCTCCCTGGTCAGCAGTAGCTCGTCAAGCGGCAGACCCTGGAGCGAGAGCGCCTCGAGGCCGATGAGCGGGCCACCGCGCGAGGTGAGGAACGGAATGCCCGACGGCGTGAGGCACGGCGCGATGCCCGGTCTGGACGCTGCGACGTTTCGGTCTACGTTCTGCGAGAGCTCCCAGATCTTGGACTTGTAGATGGGGTCCTGGCCCATGGCTGCGAAGCGGAGGGTGGTGATGTCGAGCAGGTCGGTGACGCGCTCTGGCTGGCGCACCGCCCACTCGTTCCATCCGTCGTGCGACATCTTGCACGTACCGCCCTCCTCCCAGGCGGTGAGCGGGCGCGTCTTGCCGAGCTCCTCCTCGTCGCGCGCGCGCTCGTGGCGGCTCTGGCACTTGGACCAGTCGATGGTCGACCTGCCCTTGCTCAGGCCCTCGCCGTGGGCAAATTGGCGACGCACGCGCTGGATGCGCGGGTCGTCTGTAGAGAGCAGAAAGGCATCGAGCGGGCTGGACGCGGGCCGCATGAGGACATTGGTGATGAGATCCCAGTTCTGCGGCAGCGAGTCGCGATTGTTGCGCGTGGCCAGCAGGTATCCTCGCTGGCGCGTGTGCGGGATGTAGTAGTTTTTGGTATCGAAAGTGTTGCTGAATCCGACGTCGTAGCCTGCTTCGGCGACGATGGTCTCTGCGACGCCGACCCAGGGTGCATTTTTGACGTTTTCGAGCACGACGAGCGTAGGCTTGTGGCGCATGACCCACTCGAGCATGCCGCGGAAGGTGCGTCCACTCTCACCTCCATCGTTCAGTCCCTTTTTGCTGTTGTTGAGGTGCGAGTAGTCGACGCAGGACGTGCCTGCGATGAGGATGTCGACGTCGCCGGGCACGTCTACGAGCGCGCCATAGGCGGTGTGCGCCTTTTCGCCGCCGAGTTCGGTGACGTCGCGAAAGAGGATGGGTGGGGAAAAGTTGCGTTCGATGTACGCTTGTTTGAACGGCTCGATCTCGCAGGAGAAGACGTGGTGTACGTTGATGCGGATGCCGTGCTGTTCGTGGATGGCGCGGCACATGAGTTCGAGGGCGAGGAGGGGCGATTCGGTGCCGCTGCACATGGTGGCGACGCGGAGGGGCCTGCCGTCGAGCGTCTGTGCGAGTTGGAGGATGGCGGGCGCGCGTTTGACCATGTCGCCAAAGATGTCTGCGAGGTCGTGGATGGGCGGGTAGAGGTTCTCGGCCGCCTTTTCCTTCATCGTTTCGCGGAGCTGTGCGATTTCGGCGGGCGAAGGCACAAAAGGCATCTTGCGGAAGGGTTGCTTTTGGGCAAAGGTCGACTTCCATCCTTTACCGCTGGAGAAGGAGGGCACAGCTGCGCCAGTGCGTTTGGCAGCCGCGCCGGTGCGCTTGCGAGGCTTTTCATCTTCGTCGTCGTCGTCATCGTCTAGGAAGGAAGCGTCTAGATCGTCGAGCTCGTCTGCGGTGCGCTTTTGCTTTGGGCTTGGCTTTTGGAAGAGCGAGAAGAGGCGCCTGTTGTCGGATGGTGGACCGTTGGAGCGGAGGGAGCGCTGGGAGGATGAGCTGGGCAGGTTGGAGATGGGTCGCAAGGGCGCCTTGTTTTCGGCGCCGATCATGACGAAAGGGTTGGTGCCGTATTGGTATCCGACGACGGCGGGGTCCTCGTCAGCGGGAGTCTCTGGCATGCTGCTTGAAGGCGACTGCGAGCGATCGACGCTTGCACTCGGGTCGTCGTCATCATCGTCATCGTCGTCGTCGGTCGAAGCATGCTGTTCGGGCTTGAACTCGTCTGCGCTCGATTGGTTTTCCTTCTCGTCCTCGCTCTCTGGCTCGTCGTCGCTAAAACCCAGGAAGATGGGCTTCTGCTTGCTGTTCCCCTGCTTCTGCTTCTTTGCCGTTGGGGTTGATGGTGAAGCCGCCGCCTTGGTTGGGGATGCTGTCCTTGCGGGTGACTTGCCGAAGAACGAAGTGATGCGGCCATGACCCGCCGCCGCAGCCGCAGCCGCAGCTCGCTTTGGGGTGTTTCGCTTTGCTCCGACCATGTCATCGATGATGATGCAAATCAGACCATGCTCGTGTCGGAAGCTGTGCCGATAGCGTGGGAGGGATGGGGAAGAAGAGAGGAAGGGAAGGGGAAGGTCAGGGTCTGCCTCTCTGTGCGCACAGTCCAAAAACGCGCTTCTCTCAAGCCGTGTTGGACTCTCTCTCGACGCGGGCACTTCAGCACTCTCCCAACGCGCCACTTCCGACGCGACACGCCTTCATCCCCCGCAAATTAAGCTTTCGGCCGTTTCAACTCTTCGTATCTTCACATCTCGGCCTCTCCGTCGTCACATCACATCACACTCACAAGCGTGGGAATCACAGGTATAATCACATTGAGCGGATGATGCTCAGACAAAGCCGCCTTCGCCGTCGTTGTATGCCTGCTGAGCCGCCTGCTCCACCACTTCCAGATCCCACTCGCCGCCCACAGTGTCCTTGGCGAGGCCACTTCGCACCGCCTCGATGCTCTGGCTGAGCTGTTGAAGTTGCTCCGCGCTCGGCGGTTGGGCGAGCAACGGTGCAATCCATATTTGCTGCAGCCGTTGGAGCACTGCATCGTCTCCCGCATCGAGCCGGCTGGCGATCTGGTGCAGACACGAGATCACATGTGCTCGTCCCGCCCGGAGTCGCAGCAACGTGTCGTCGATACACGCCTGTGCCAGCCGCCAGTGTCGATACAGCGGAACGGTCAGTGCCCTTCGCACGCATCCGACCAGTGTTGCCGCCACCACAGCATCCAATGTCTCTGCAGAGCGCGGAGGAGATGAGGCGGATAATGAGCGCGACAGCTTGGCGATCGTCCATCCCGACTCCACCGTGGCTTCGCCCTCGTTGGTGCGCTCGTCGTAGCTCAGCGCAAACAACAGCTCCACCACCACCGCCAGCGCTTCCACCGTCTGTGCTTCCCCTCCCACTTCCGCGGTGTCGCTGGCGGGGATCGTAGGGGTGAACCGCAAGACGTGGTCGAGCTCGCCATCGATATCGAGGTAGTTGTCCATGTAGATGCCCTCGTCCCATCGCTCCTCTTCGTACGCCACTGCTGCAGCATACCGCGCTGCTGGCTCCGTGCTGCCCGGGTCGGCCACCTCCAGCACGTTGCGCGTGTCTGCGCACCCTGCCGGAATCAGCGCTCCTCTCGCTTTGCCGCCCAATCCAATTCCAAACCCTGGTGCGTTTGCCGTATCTTTGACGGTCGCCTGCTGCGTCGAGATCATCTCGTCGTCCAGTGCAGCCTCGCCATCGTTGTCCGCGACCGTGACGAGCCCCTGACTGCGCAGTGCCTGCTGCAGCAACGACTTGGCCTCTGCATCCTCGCCTGCCTGCGATGCCGGCTCGAAGAAGCCCTTGGACTGCTCGGCGTCCACAAGCGCCTGCTTGAGCTGGTCCTCGGGTAGCAGTTGGGCTTGCAACCCGTCCAGCCCTTCAAACTGTTCTCCCCGCTGCACCTTGTCGAGCGTAACGGTGAAGACCGTCGTTCCGTCCTGTGCGTTTTCGACCGTAGTCGCATCCGAGCCTGGCGTCCTCACCGCGCCCGGAAGCACGAGTGGCAGATAGTACGGCTCCAGATGGAAGCCAAAGATGCGTCCTTCCACTGCGATGTTCGGCATACTCATTCCGCCAGTGGTGCTTTGACAGCTGATCCGGATATACACCCGGTCTCCATCCTGTCTTGCCTCGAATGAAGGCGTCGCAAAGCCGTCCATCGTGAAGTGGTTGGTGCGGAAAGGTCGAGAAGATGGAAAGCGAGAAGAAAGACGGCTCGAAGTTTTTTTTTCTTCTTTTTTTTGGAAGAAGCCTCCACAACTCCGGCGCTGCGATTTTTCCTTGGACCCTGAAAGCAACGGCGAATTGGCCGGCACAGCCAGCAAGTCGGCGCTCCTCACCTCGCCATAACGCTCACCGTCGTCTTCCGCTTCAGTCAATATGCAACGCCGTAAGAAGGGTATAATTAGCACATGTGCCGCAGCGTCTGTGCGAGCTCTTTGATCAGCTGGCCTGCCTCGGCAGCCACCGGATTCGCGCCGTCCTGGCCCGCCACTTGCGCCGCCTCGTCTGTGCCCGCACCGTCTTCTCCGTCCTCGCTGCCTGCCGCTTCTTCGTCACCACGCACCCTACCCGCGTCGAGCGCGGCTTGATGCACGACTGCAAACTCGTCCACCGCATCCAACAGCGTCTGCAGTCCATCCTTGCCAATTGCGGCTACACCGCTCGGCGTGCTGTGCGCACTCGGCAGTTCGGCAGCCAGCGCGGTGCGACACGCCTCCAGCCTCTCTGCGCCACCCACGCCGAACTGCGCAATCGCCGTGGCGATCGAGTTGGACAGGTACGCCGCATTGCTGTCGTCGCGGCTGGCTGCGGCGATGCGCGTCTCGAAAAACACGCGCGCCAGAAGCTGCAGCGCCGGAAGCCTGCCCTCGCAACTGCATGCGTCGGCAGCGGCACACGAGCGTCGTCGCCAGCACGTCGGCACGAGCCGCACCGCCTCCAATGCGTCGCGCGCCTTGTCGAGCTGCTTGATGAGCAGATTCGTGAGCAGTGCCAACGAGAGGTGCACCACATCGTCAAAGAGAGCGACGTCGGGTGACCGTTTGCTGTCGTCATCGCTGTCTTTGTCGGAACCACGCAGTCTGGACGCGCTCTGATGGCCCAGGAGAAACGCACGCACGATCGACGCCTGCAGGATTGCCGACGAGGCGAGCGACTCGCTCCAGTTGGCGTCGACCTGGCTCAGGTCCAACAGCATCTTGAACAGCACATGAAGCACTTGCAGGGCGCGTGTCTCGATGCTGCGGACATACCCCGATCCCGCGCCTCTATCCACCGCCTTGCCGGTGTTGCTGAGCGTGTCGAGGGGGGCTGCTTCGATGGCAAAGGCGACCAGATGCTGCAGTGCGCCGAGCGTCTCGTCCGAGGCGGGCAGGTTGCGATCCAGTTCCAAGTAGAGCATGTCCATGGCCTTGTCGAGGAAGCGGATGGCGACGTCGACGGTCTCGAGATCCGGGATCGCCTCGACTGCTGTAGGTGCGACGAGTTCAAGCCCCTTTGCAAAGTCGACCAGACGCTGCTGTGCCTTGTTGCCCTCCGAGACCAGCGTCTCGAGGACGGAATGGAAGAGTGACGAAGGCGCAACACTCTCGACGCCTTCTTCGGCTGCGAATAGGCCGTTGAGCGTGTCCTCGGTCCACAGACGCCGCGGCAGCGCGATGAGCGAGCAGCAAGCAGCGATGACGAGATTGCGCACCGTCCAGCTGGTGCCACCTGCCACAAAGAGCTTGGAGATGCGTGAGATGGCGCGCAGCTCATCGAGCGCCTTGCGATCTGAACGTGAGGCGATCTTGTGCTGCTTGAGTTCGTGCAGCCGCAGCAAGGCGAACCCGTCCTTGCGATCGGAGCGCGACGCTCGACCGGCTCGCAGGAGCATGTTGGCTAGCGTGCGGTGCAGTTGCGCGCTTCGCTCGCGCATCAAAGGCTCGACATACGACGCTGTCTTGAGCAGCTTCGCCGCATAGACGGCGAGGGAGGCGTCGAGGACGTCGTCGGTTCCTTCTCCGGCTTCTGCGCCTGTGAAGAGGTCGAAGAGGCGCACGATGAGGTCGGAGGCCTTGAGTTTGCGCAGGAACTCGGCCGACTGGGCGGAGGCGAGCGGATCTTCGATCGACTCTTCATCGACATCGCTGTCGTCGTCGTCTGCATCCGGCAGCGAGCCGATGTCGGGCTTGCCGCAAAGCAGGCGGATGAGCTCGACGGCGGAGCTCTTGCGGATGGATAGGTTCTGGGCCGGGTCGAGACCGGAGAAGAGGTACTCGAGATCGTCATTGAAGCGGCGGAGCTCGCCGGTGGAGCGGAGCGAGGTGATGGACTTGAGGTTGAGGGTGGGATCCTGCGACTCGTCCCACTCGATGTCGTCTGCGCCTTCTCCCCACTTTTTGAGCAGTTCGGCGTAGCTCTCGCGCGGTGCGGGTGTGTTTGGCTCGGAAAGGCGAGATGCGGCCGAGGAGGCGACGCGAGCGGGTTCGATAGAAGGTGTGGAAGCATGACCGTTGATCTGCGCCTCGATCTCGTCTTCGATATTGCGGGACGCTGTGTCTGGGATGGGGTTGGGTGTTGGTGGTTGGATCGAGTCCGTGAGGAGGTTCTCTTCGGCCTGGTCTGCGAGGAAGCTGCGCTGAAGGCCATAGGTGCGTTTTGCATTGGTGGCCGATGTCTGCTTGATGCCAGCGAGTCTACGGGCACCCGATGCTGAAGCCGAGGTATCCTGGGATTGAGACTCGGCCGCAGAGTCGAGATCGAGTCGGGCCGTACTCGAAGCTGCCTCGGAAGGGCGTGTTGTTGCCATGTGGATGTCGGCCTGCCCCGTGGCATCCGAAACAGCTGGATCGAACGAGTGCGCATCAAAAATGGCCGAAGGAGCGGTCTCAGTTCGGCGCAAGGATCCGCGCCTGGAGTTGGAGAGCGACTCGACAATGTCGTCCAGCTTGGACTTGGCGGGGCGTGCGGTTCGGGGTGCCATGCGATCTGCCATCCTGGATCGCTTGGAGGGGCTGATGGGGGCGGTACCTGGGGAGAGCTGGTCATCGAAGTCAAAGTGCGGAAGAGTGGGCGACTGAAGCGGGCTGTCGATGGGCGATGCTGGATCGAGGGCCTCGAAAGGGGCGAGATGGACGACGGGATGGCTCTCGCTTCTGGCGAAAGGATTGCTGCGAGGCCGCGGCAAGGTGGGCTCGATGGCGTCAAAGAGGCTGGACAGGTCCTTTGCTGGGCGTGTCGGGGTGCGGGAGCGGGCGAAGCGTTTGGAGGGTGATGATGCCGACGACTTGCGAGGTGAGGTGCTGGCGCTGCGCTTGGCGGGTAGGGTGGATGAAGCCGACGGACGGCGTGCCTTTACGGCGGTGGAGGGAGAAGCAGCGCGGGCCGGACGCTGCGGCAGCGAGCTGGTGGAGCGAGGAGCGGTGGACGACGGTGTTGGGCGTGATTTGGGCCCGAGACCACCCGGCGTCGACTTGGACGGACTCGCAGCCGATCCATAGGGAGGATTCGGAGGATGCCGCAAGGATGAGGACGAGGCAGACGAGGAGGAGGAGCTGGGATCTATGCGGCTGGATTTGATGGGCGAGACGACTGCTCTCTTGCACGATGTGCCATTCTCACGAGGTTCTTCTGCCTCGTCGGAGGATCCGTTGGATGCGTCAGCAGCGGGACGGGGGCGGATTGCCGCAGGGGAAGAGGTTGCACTGCCCGTTCCATGCTGTCGATTGCGCCTCGAGTAGGTGACGGCAGTCTGCTTGCGGCGCAGCGACGACGTGAAATCCATGTTCGGAAGAAGCGAGATCGATGCGCACGTCTTGGCACGGCTGGATCGGATCAGCAGAGGCAGCGGAATCAGCAGATGGTGGCGTGCTTCATAGGTGAGAAATTCGATAGGAGAAGGCGTCTAGGGAAAGTGGTGCTGCTGACTACGCCTCGAGGTGGATGGCGGAAGTGCCGACTGCGGACGTGACGGCGGTGAGGTGCGGAACGGCCGACAGCAATCCTGTGACGCACGATCCGACCGAGTCTAAGCTCTTGGCTGCCAAGATGAAGGTGTGACGGCCAGGGTCCTGAGGGTCCTCCTGCGCTTTGGACGCCCATCCAACGCTTTGATGCAGGGCGCAGGTGGGAATTTTGTGGAGAGCCCCAAAAGCCTGCATCACGTGCGCCGAGCTGACGCGCCGGCCTGGCTTGGATCAAATCGGGCGCCAACCAACACTTTTTTTTTGGCAAGAAATCGCGGTCAAGAGTGTTGTTCTGCTGTTGTTCTGCTGCCGCTGCGTCGCGCCACAGCAGCCGGGCGTGAGAACGTCGGCACCACCGAGCGCGCGCTTTCATTTCATCACGGCCGTGTCGCTCTCTAAGCGCGCCAACACCCTGCAGCCTGCAGAGCCTCAGCAGTCAACCACAGTCATATCCACGCCGGCTTGCCTCCGACGCACCATCGCCATCCTCCCTCTCCCTCTCTCTCTCTCCCACTCTTCCATCATCGCCGCATCGCCTCGATCAGCCAGCATGTTTTCGGAAGAGGAACGTCTGGCGTCCTTCGCCATCGCCTCGTCATCCACATCCACGTCAACAGCCAAGAAGCGCCAATCCACCAAAGCAACAGCAGCATCAGCATCGTCGACATCCACACCATGGCCGCATCCCGTCACCGCACGCGGCGCCAAGGCAGCAGGCGTCCCCACGCCAAGTGTGCTCGCAGTGCACGGCTTCTACCACGCGCCCACACCACAAGAGCCCGACGCCGTCGCTCACTTTCTCTATCCCGAGCTGCGCATAGCCAACTGGCAAGCGAATGATGATCCACTCGCTCGTCTCGAGGACGCCCTTCCAGCCAACGGCTGGTGTCGCATCCACAACAGCCTCTCTCTAGCCTCCTTTGACGAAGCTGCCAAGATCTGGTTCTGGCAATCGCCCGAGCTGCTACCCACATCCTCCGAAATGGTCCAGGCTCGCAAAGAGACATTCGGCTCTCGCTGGCCATACGACGGCAAAAAGGGCTGGAAACCCACCAGCAAGAAGCTGGCCGAAGCTGGCTTCCTCTTCAACCCCACCGAAGAAGAGCCCGACAATGCAAAGTGCATCTACTGCGACAGGTCGCTCGGCGGCTGGGAAAAGTCGGACGACCCCGTACACGAGCACCAGCGACGCCATCCCGAATGCGCCTTTTTCAAATGCGAGCTACGCCAACCCCCACCGTCAGCGCCGCAGCCTTCTGGTCCTGAAGCGGACGCGGACGATGCCGCTGCGCAAGATGCAGAGCCGGCCGTTGCACCCAAGAAAGCCGGAAAGCGCGCCGTATCAGCAACTGCACGCAAAGCATCCACCAGGATGGCCAAAGCAACCAAGGCCGCGTCCGTCGCCGCATCGGCAGAACCGAGTGCGCCACCCTCGCGCAGCGAGTCACCCGCGCCCGAGCCAGAAGCCGTGGCCGAGCCTGAAGCGCAAGAGGAGGCACCAGCACCAGCACCACCACCGCCAGCCAAGAAGGGCACGCGAAAGACCACACGCAGCGTGTCGACAAGAAAGGGCGCCGGCGCAGCCGAAAACAAGGACGAGCCCGAACAAGACCAGGCTGAAGAACAACCTGCGCCCGAGCCAGAGCCACAGCCAGAGTCCTCGGCCAGCGCAGACACACCCGAAGAAAAGCCCACCAAGGCGACTAGAACCAAAAAGCCAGCGGCCGGGCTGGGCAACGGCAGCACCGAGGCGCCGTCCGTGCGTCCCTCGCGGCTCGCCAGCCGAAGAGCCACGCGGCTCATGGAGATGCTCTCGGCCGATGATGACGTCGACCGCATTCCGCGCCGACCTGATGAAGATGACCTCGCCAGGCGCGAACAGGCGCTTTCGGACCCCGTCCCCTTCCCCAGCGTGCCGAGCGAAGACGAGCGCGAGCCGGCCACCGACCCCGTCGTCGCGCCCAAGCCCAAGCGAAGCAGGTCCAAGTCGGCCAAGAAGGTCGAGCCTGCGCCAGAGCCCGAGTCCGAGCCGGAGCCCGAGGCAGAACCAGGGCCGGAGCCAGAACCAGCGGTGATCTCTGACTCCATATCCGAGGCCGAAGCTGTGGCCGAACCCGAACCTGTTCCAGACACGACCGTGATCGAGCACGCCGCTTCTGACGTGTCCATCTCGGATGCCTCTCCCTCGCCTCCTCGTCCAGTGCGCCCTGCCAAGTCTGTCCGCTCTGTCCGCACATCCTCTCCACCGGTGCTGCCGCCGACAACATCGGAAGCGACGATCCGCGCATCCAGCCCTGCCGCCGCGCCGGGCGTCTCGTCACTATCCCAGCTGGCCGCACTCGATCTCGACGACACGCAGCGCGCACTCACGCTCGGCGCATGGCTGCAGGCGCACGCCGACGCCGCCGCGCGCGAGATGCGCGCCGCCGCCCAGGCCGAGCTCGCCCAGCTCGAGGCCGGGTTCCTGCGCGCGCGCGGCGAGATGGAGCGCACACTGCGCGGGCGTGCCTAGTGCCTCACTCTCCCTCCTCACTCTTCGCAATAACATGCCTTGACAGTCGATTCACACTTGTGCAGGAGATGCGAACGCGGTTGTTTGGATTGTGCACTGTTGAAGGGGGGGATCACTACGGGGGTTCCATTAGGTTCGGGCAGTTTTGGTTTCCAGTTGATGGATTGTGTTGTTGGGAGTGGCGGGGGATTTAGACGGTATCCTTCCAGACGAGCTGTGCGACCTCCCTGCAGAGCTTCAACTTATCGAACTGGGTCTGTTTGGTGATCTCGTTTCCATGGACCGTGGAGCTGAATCCGCACTGTGGACTGATCGCCAACTGCGCCAGTGCACCATCGCGCTTGATCTCGGCTGCAGCATCGTGGATCTTCTTGACCAGCTCCTCCTTGCTCTCCATCTTTGCGTGTTTCGACGAGACCAGTCCGAGCACCACCACCTTGTTAGGAGGAAGGTGTTGAAGCGCAGAAAAGTCCTTGCCGGAACGAGAGTCTTCCCACTCGAGGAAGAATGCGTTGACGTTGAGCTGTTGGAAGAGGACCTTGGCGATGGGGTTGTATCCATCTTCGCTGCCCTGGGCGAAGAACTGCGATCGGAAGTTGCCCTTGCACAGATGGATTGCCGCCACCATGTCGCCCTTCTTCTCTGCCAGACTCGCATTGATCAGTCTCGCATAATCCAGGGGGAGCTTGTCCAGGTCTTCGCCTCGAGATACCGCCTGACTTCGCATCGTCTCATCGGTAAGATACGCCAGATTCGTATCATCCAGCTGGATGTATCGACAACCCGCGGCGTAGAGTGCGGCGATTTCGGTCCTGTACACTGCCGCAAGGTCGCTAAAGAACTCCTCCAAATCAGGGTACGCCTCCGAACTAATCGCAGCTCGTCCGCCTCGGAAGTGGCACATGGTCGGGCTGGGGATGGTGATCTTGATCCTCTTGACCTCGGACGCGGGGACGAGGCTTTGGAGGAACTTGAAGTTGTCCACCTCGATATCGTGCGTATGCCTCAGCTTCCCCGTCACACTCAGCGTCGGGGGCACCCTACCCTCCTTCTGCTCCAGCGTGTTCTTGCTGATCGTAATCCCCTCGATGTGCTTCAGAAAGTCGAGGTGGAAGTACTCGCGACGAAACTCGCCGTCGGTGATCTCCTGCACGCCGTTTTCGAGCAGCTCGTGCACGTGCGACGCGATCTCCCGGTCTTCGATGGTCCGCAGCTCGGCGGCGCTAATCGAGCCGGCGGCAAACGAGGAGCGCGCGGTGTGGATCGACGCGGGACGAAGGAACGAGCCCACGTGCGCGTGGCGAAACGGCGGATTCACGGACAGCATCGTGGGAGGGGTACCGGTAGGGAGCGACATGACGAAGACAATGTGGTGAGGAAGGAAAGGAAGGAGGAAGCAAGAACGGCGGGTGGCATACGACATCCACCAGAGTGGTCCATGCTCGGAACCAGGGCTACGCGGGCAAACAGTGGCACTGTACGACAGCCAAGCCCGGCCATTTCGTTGGCCTCCACACCGACTCGGAACACACGGCACGCCTCACGCCGACCCGTACGACATCGGGCCGTTCTCAACTTCCCGATCTGATCACGATCTACACAAGATTGCCGGCCCGGCGTCGATGCTCGGCAATCTCGCCTTGGTGCGTCGGCGATCTAAACCTCCGTGCGTTGCTCGCCCCCGCATCCCACACACTCCCACACACACTTACCCAAGCGTATAAAGTCCCCCTTCTCCCCCCGCCTTCTCTCTCGCTGTTCTTCACTATCACCTCCTTCGTTTACTCCCCTCCCACTTTAAGCGCAACGATGTCCCTTCAAGCTGGTTCGCTCTTTGATCTGCGCGGTGCAGTAGCCCTTGTGACAGGCGGTGGTACGGGTCTGGGCCTTACCGCCGCGCTTGCACTCGCATCCAACGGCGCCAAGGTGTACATCTCTGGTCGGCGTCAGCAGCGTCTCGACGAAGCGGTGGCAGAGTACAATCCCACCCTGCAATCCGGCAAGCTCATTGCGTAGGTCTTCCTCGATCCCAGAATTCACCCTTTCTTTGAAGGAGGTTTCGCTGACTTGTGATTTTTGGGAGTAGTGTTCAGGGGGATGTGTCTTCGAAGGAGGACTTGGGACGCATTGCGTCGCTGATCGAGAAAGACGAGGGCAAGTTGCACATCCTCGTCAACAACGCCGGCATCGAAGGACCCATGACCAAGTTCGCCAACCCCTCCTCCCTCTCCGCCGCCGATCTTTCCTCGGCCCACTTGGCGTCCGAATTGTTTGAAGAGTGGGATAAGCTCTTCCGCATCAACACGTCCTCGATCTTCTTTTCCACCATGACCTTCCTCCCCCTGCTTTCCGCCTCTCACTCCCATCCTCTTTCCTCCTCGACCCAGGAGGGAAAGTGGACTGCGTCGGTGATCAACATCACGAGCATTAGCGGTATCGTCAAGACGAGCCAGTTCCACTACGCCTACAATGCCTCCAAGGCCGCCGCCAACCACCTCACCCAAATGCTAGCCCACGAACTGCGCTTCAACTCCAACACCGGTATCCGCGTCAACGCCCTCGCTCCAGGCCTCTTCAGTTCGGAAATGACCAGCGGTGGAAAGAGCGACAAGGGCAAGACGAACCCAGACGACGTTACGGGTCACAACAACCCAGCCGGCCGTGTGGGCAGCGAGACCGAATACGCCCAACTCGTCCTCCTCCTCGCCGCCAACCAGTTCATCACCGGCCAAATCGTCGCCGTCGACGGCGGATTCATCTCCGCCGTCCCCTCCTCCCGCTAAACACCCCCCCCCCCCCC